GCCGTGACCGGATGTCACACGACGTTTGATGACGATCCGCATGTTCGATGTGGAGTCAAGACCAGGTTTTAGAGACAGTTTTTGGATGTTTTTGGGGGATCGAAGCACAAACGATGGACATCGTATAGACGGCATTCCTCTCCTCTTTTTGCTGCGCCAGTTCGTGAAGCTCGTGGGCCTTTGCATGATGTGCGGATGCATCAACAGGATGGACGTGTGGGATCCTTGGGTCTCTGAAAGGCAAGGTGCTCTCGTCACCGTTCGATGTCGGGGTAGCCGGACAGGGGAGGGTCACATCCACTCACTGGTGACGGGGAGGGATCTCCAAACCACCCCAAGCTCTGTGACTCGTGGTGCCTTATAACCTATAACGATCTTATGATAAGCAAGTGCTTGATTGACACTCTGTGTTTACACTGTCCTATGCCAACGGAAGTTAGTGACGCAGTGGTGAAAACATAGATTCCAATATAGTTTCTTGGCTTAAACTGCTGAGTCTCAGTCCGTTCGATTTGATCTTTCGAACCTCAATTAATGGCCAAGAAGACCACCAATTTTTTTTCACTCGCGTACAACAATGCAACTGTCAGTGGGTGTATGGAAGAATGATGGCGTGGAGATGATTGGCCAATGATCAGGGCAAGCAAATCACGACCTGAGTCAGAGGGCCTTCTCTGACCTGGAGAGCTGAGAAGTTGATGCAGCCAAGAATCAGGTTGGCCCAGAGAACACAGGTTTCGATGCACTTCATTAGCCGCACAGTGCATGCAGATCCCACGGTGCAGGTTGATATCAAATTCTGGCGATTTAAAGTCGAATCTGGGTAGCGCGACAAGCCCATCATGGTTGTCAACGCTCAGGGTGAGCAGAAAAAAGTTGCACCCTGAAGAGATTTCCTCAATGGTTTTGCAGAAGATGAAGGAGACTGCAGAGGCTTCTTTGGCCACCAAGGTGAATGCGGTTTTGACAGTGCCAGCATATTTTGCCAGAAAAAGATGCGGGAACATACATATGCCCTTATGAAATGCTGATCCTTTGACCTTATAAAGTGGTCTACCGAGGTCCCATCTCATAAAAGCTAAAAAGGGGACCTTGTGTAATTATAGGCCAGGAAGCATTCGAAACAACATGGTGGGGATATAGAGAATTCAGAATGGACGTCATAGAAAAAACACGTTTAGGTAATTTTGTAAAGAAGACAAATGATGTAGTCATTTTAAACAAGACATCAGGTTGTGATAAGATATCCATATAATAGTGTGGACAGGTCATTTTGTAAAAATCACTCGGGTGGTACTGAGTGGCCGGAAAATGAATCCGATTTTCTCCCTCATGGATGTTGATGGCTTGATCATTTCATTAAAGTGTTTGGACCCTGCATGTAATGATAGCAAAATTATCGTGGGCAGATCATTTTATAACAGGCATGTGTGTGTGTGTTTGTTAAATGCAACACCTGCAGCCATAGGTGAGTAGTATGGTACAGTATGGTGGATGCAGGAACCATTTCAGGCATGAATGTGCTGCGTATCATCAATGAGCCTACTGTGGCGGCAGCCATTGCGTATGGCCTTGATAAGAAAGGTGCAGGTCTTATTGCGATGTGTTGATCTCTGACATGGGGTGAGTCCCCCTTGGTCACGATGATATCGGATGATATCGGATGATACAGTATCTTTGAGATACGACTGCGTGACACGGTGTCACACCCACTGACTGCGGTGAGGACGACTTGACCGTCGAGATGAGTCGATATGGCTGTGGGTCAGTTGGACCCATGGCAGGCCACCTGGGTTGACCGGTTGACCAGAGAAAATGAATGGAATGGACGACCTACGGGAGGTCACCGGCTCCTGGTGCCATGACCCACAGCCATATCTGCATTCGACCCACAGCGTAAGAAGAGCGAACAGGGAATCAGCACGCGAGACACGGACACAGTGAGAGCCTTGCCAAGTGCATGTCGTCTTCCTTCACTCAGGTGACCATGGAGATCGATTCTTGGTTTGAAGGAATTGACTACTGTAGCACCTTGTCACTTTGACATGCCACATGGTGCCAATGATTTTGCTGGCAAGTCAAGCCAGATCACCGTCACAAGCAAGATTTCGGGCGGCTGTCGTCTGAAATTGACGGTCCAGGAGGCTGAGGAAGCTCCGGAAAATGAGCAAAAACACACAGATCGCAGCAGGAAAATGCCTTGGGAACTGCCAGGAAGAGCTCAAAGAGACGTTTGAGGGCCACAAGGAGAGAATGAACACCTGTGCAAGCGACCTTTGACTGGACAAGAATCAGCTTATCGAGAAGGATGAGTTTAAGGCCGTACGGAGAAGGAACTTGAGGCATCGTGAACCTCGTCACTTCCGAAGGGGGAATGCCTGGCGGTGGCTTGGCCATGGCGCGCCTGGTGCGGTTTCTCGAGGAGGTGGACTGAGACAGATGAGTCAGCAGCAAGGTCGTGTCGAATTCGATGTACTCAAAAGAAGCGCTTATAGTTGTACAGGGAAGTGGTGAAAAAAGACATAGAGCCAAGTGACATCCTTGTTCATTCTTGAGAGTGGTAGGTGTAAAAACAAACGAAGAACATGTGTCTGATCCGCCTACGCTGTTTGAACGCTGAGGGAACCCTGAGCGGCTTACGGCGTCCAGACCTATACCACGGGCACTGAAAGTGACAATAGTGACAGACGCTCGGTCGAGTCCATAGAGTGACAGACTCAGATTGTGTCCACAACAAGATGGCCTGCCGATGGTGAATAGTTTGGGAAGCCGATTCTAAGACGGCCCCAAAAGGTGTGGGGCCCATCGGCCAATAAGACCCCTTTCTGCCTACAGGATCCTACAGGTAACAAAAACTTATGGTATCAGCTTCTTAAATGGTGTATGTGCAAAGATGGGGTTGTGGTGCTCAATTCAAAATCGAGAATCAACACACTAGCCTGTGAACCGTCTTATTGATATGGAATGCTTACACACATCTAAGATCTGCATTTCAGTGCCATCTGTAGCAAAAAAGCGAAACAAAGCACTCTGTGTGCAGTGTTCTCACCATTGCTTTCCTGGCAGCCCTGTACTGCTGGAGTTGAGAAACGTGTTTTAATTGCTGCGGCGAGTCAAACATAGAGAATTCACGGAATGGCAACTGAACAGCGTGCCGAAAACTGCCAATCTCAGATGGTGAGTCAACACCCCGCCTCCCTGTTGTTGAGCTCCCTGGTATTCTGTTCATTTTCGACACCTGTTTTTGAGCCAAACCCAGATGGGTCAAAACCTGGAGCCCCAACACGATGTAGCTGGACCTTCCAAGTAGGTCAACCGGTCGGTATCCTGGTTTTGATCCAAAGCCGGATGTTCAGTCCGATGTCTTGACTCGCTGCCTGCAGTTGTTTTCCGCACCTTTTTGGGTCTCCGCGAAATCCGTAGAGGCCTTTGCTGCGCCCGATCCCTCCGCTGCAACTCGCAAGCCGATTCCTCCGTCGACAAAGCCAGGGCCCACTGTTTTGAGCCTCATAGAGGGCGGTGAATGGAGACGAGCGAAGTGCCAGTTATGCTCTTGTATACAGGCGAGACCAGCCACGGCGGAAAGCTATCGGATCATACAAAAACCAAAGTCAAATAGAGATTCGGCCACAGCATAGGACAGCTTCTTCTGTTTGCCTATTCTAATTATTTGGTCTATTTTTTGTTTTTCATCTCAAGCAAATCTGACATGTTTAATTGATACTGACACACAGAATCAAACAACTAGCTCTAGAATCGCTATTGACGAAGTAAATCTTAAGCCTTCACATGACGCTCTGGCTTTTGCGACCCTTAATCAGCGCTTGCCCTTGCTTTCGGTGGAGAGCCTGCACGAGAGCTGGACTCCATGCAATCAACTGAGAGCATTCTAGTTGAACTGTGAAACTTAGAGTCTAGAGGTAGTGAGAAGGCTACGTATGATCGACTATGTTTGTTTGAAGTCAGTTGCTGCTTTTGAGGTTTGGAATTCTAAATCAATCTCAAGCCGTCTTAAACCAGAGTTTGAGGAGCTCAATTTGCTACGAGCTGGAGAAGGAAATGGGTTGGTCTGTGATTGTGCATGATCTCCCAAAGGTAAAACGTATCACGTCGGCCGGAAGCCCGCAGCGAAGCTCGCTCGCAGGAAAAAAGCCCGCCTGGATCTCAACTCCCTTCTGCCCAGGGCCCTTTGAAAGAGAGTTAACTTGCCATTTTTCGGGGGTTGAGGCTCAAAACCTGGTTCCGCGTCGTCTTCTCGACCGCACGTCGTCTTCAACCGCACGTCGTCGGCCGGAGCTCCGGTGCTGGTGCCATGACGTCTGGGTCGGAAGGCCTGGCAGGTCTTCACCCTTACTATTTGAGCTCGTCGAGTCATCTCAAGATCTCTCAGAATGACCAACCTTAGATGGGTCGCGAAAGAGTCGTAAAAGGTGGGTGAAGCAAGGTCCGGTCCTGGTTGGTTCCAAAGGCTTTCAAAGGACTAAGTGATTTTTCGCATGGCACCAATATAGCCGCTTTAGTGGTATTTGGATGTTCAACCTTCACTGGAAATGATGGATCACTTGAACAAAGTTGTACTTATCATCAACTACTACTTTCCACCGGGTTTGGGGATCTCTTTCGATCGGGTCACGAAGGTCGGTACTGGAATGACTCCGCGACGAGGATACATAGGATGGTAAACAATTGGTATGATAATGTATGATAATGTATGATATATATATGGATATATATATATATATACGGATATATATATATATGGATATATATCATATATATATATATTGAGATATATATATATATATATGAACACCTATGTATATATATATATATCTATATGTTTTTAATAACATGATATAACTAAATATATTATATGTGTATACACGTACATGATATAATTTAAGATGCGTTTGTCATAGGCACACGCAACCACAAATACTTTCTTTCTGAAAAAAGAAGTGCAGGGCAACTTGCTTGACGCCAACTTTTGCGTTCTCTCAAAGCTGTAGAGCCCAGACTCACGTCGCGCGAGCAGCACCAGAGACGGAGCAGTGCCGCGGCAGGAAGCGCCCAGTTTTCGTTCCCGGGCAGCGCGTGGGAAAGAACTGGTTTTTGGAGGGAAGAGTGGACGGTCCCATCGGATGAGTTTCCAGGATGAGTTGGTTAGCCGAATGGCTGGGCGTACCTGAGGCCCATGCCAAGCGGCTTTGATTATTCCAAGCCACTTGGCCACATCAAACGGTCGATTCGGAGACGTCACGAGGAATCACCGGAGCTCTACAAATGTCAATCTGCATTAAGGCTTGGTCCAAGTCCGGTGGTTTTGAATGCAATCATGTTGCCCAAGTCGCGTGAAGCTGGATTCTCATCATGTGTTTCTTCAAGTTTTTTTTTTTTATTTTTAAAGGATATATATATATTTAAATTGTTTTTGTTAATTTATTAATGATGTATTGCTATATATATATATATTTATTTTTTCCCGGGCTCCAGAGACTCCACAATCATCGACCTGCCGGCTTCTTGCCTTCGTCTTAAGGTGGAACAACATCGAGTTGTCAGATGATGAGGAGGATGTTGGAAGACCCAGACATCAGCATGTCTACTTCCAGCCCTTGCTTTTTCCAGCGATGTCCGATTTCGGAGGGAACCCCAAACTCATCCAAAACGACATTCTATCAAACTTCTGGAGCCGCAGCTCGCCCGTGCACGAGAGACGTCGCCCGTTCGCAGCCGTCGCATGTCCTGTCTTTGGACCTTCGCAGTTGAGGTGCATCCGAACATCGACAAAGCCTCGTGGTGAAGTCCTCAGGATGGGAAGGACATAGAAGGAGACGGGTTCTAGCCAGAGCACATACTTCACACCTCACAAGAATAAACAGGAACACAAATAAAAAATAGACTAACACTATAAGAAACCAAATCACATCGAGATGTCTGGCCTGACTTCGGTTCGACCAGGTGGCCCGGACCGGACCGTCTTGACATGTCTGGAGCGTCGCGGCTCGGGCCGCGAGTCTCAGACCAACAGAGGGACCCCCTTTTTGACTCATGTTAGACTCTTGATTAGTAACCACCCCATTTATGAATTGGAATCTCTTTTTCACATTTGGGGGGTGAAATATCTATCATCAAGAGTCTAGGACGAGGTCTCCCAGCTGGGCACCTCGTCCTGACGGTCACAAAAATCACAAAACCTCTCTTGAGATGTAGGGGCGACGAGCTCCCAGGTGTTCCGACCTCTTGGACGCTTCGGGAAATAGACCTGTAGTCTACCCAGCCAGGGCCAGGGGGTTTTCCTATATTAAAGGACATCGCCATGTGCCCATTTGTGCTTCTATCGCAGCCAACGTGGCTGGAGCAAATGGGAGCAAGTGATCAGCTGGCGACCATTCTATCCATTGAGTGGTACCGTAGTAGCAGCCCTGCACTCTCTGTGGAACAAGTGTCTAGTTTGAGGTAATTCTGGAATCTAGGGGAGAAGCCGAGACACACCTTGTTTGGCATCATCATTGAATCATTGAATGATCGAAGAATGATAAGCATCATATAATCATATCATTCTTCTTTTGGTTGTCGGTTGTTCTTCTTCTCCTCCCTCTTCTTACCTGGCTTTTCCCGTGTCTTAAATGCGAGTGATTCACTGCTGCATTTTGCGGCTGCAGGTTCAGATACAAGCACCAGACTCGAGTAGAGAGAGATGAGGACGAGGAGAAAAAGCAGCTTGCTCTCGAGAAGCAGCTTGAGAAGCTACAGAAGGACCCTGCGCAGAGCGCAGCACACGACGATTGGTCATTTCGCACGAAGATTTCATTGATGGATTTCGTAGGCGGTGCTTTCTGAGAGACTCTGGTATGCTGATGTATGCTGGTGGGCTGTGCTTTGGATGTGATGGTAGTAGTGTTGTTTCCCTTGTGTCCTTTGGATTAGCTCCCTGGACGAAAGCATGCTTTCCAAAACTGGACAGCCACAAAAAGGATGAGCTTGCAGATCTTGCGATCCAAGACAGGCCCATGAAAATGGCAAAAAAGATACAGAATCAAGAGTTCTATGAAACCAATGATGAACAATAGCCTTTTAGAACCAGCTCTTTCGGTTCTCTCATGATGTCGAGGTGCACTCCGAAAGACCAGCAGAGACCCATTTTGGAACAACTGAGATCGAACGTGGGGTCAGGTCACAAAGAATATACACATGATAAAGAACGAAGAGAATCATCAACATGACCAGGCTAGCGGAGCATGACTGTGCAGCATCGCCTCGAAAGGTTCTGCCTCTATTTGATGTTAATGCTTTTGGCTCAGGCTAGCGGCTAGTTTTTTAGACTTTCGCTTTGTTGTTCCCAGGAAAAAACGCCCTGGACGATGTCTGGTGCACCAGTGGCGGCCAGCGCACCACCGATGGAACTGGAAATTACGGACCCGACACAGCTGGCGCAGCTGACCCAGCAAGCCTTGGCCACATGCACCGGCAATAAATTTGACTTCAACGTCATTGGCCACGACCTTCAATTGGTTGAAGTCCTCCTCAAACCCGGCGACAAGATCATTGCAGAGAGCGGCTCACTTTGCTTTCTAGAGCCTGACATCACCTTCGAGTCGCAATTCAATGATGGCTCAAGGCCAGAGGGCAGCTGGTGGGAGAACATCAAAGATGCTGGCAAGCGCTTGTTAGCCGGCACTTCCATCTCCATGCTGCACATTGAGAACAGTGGTTCACAAATTCGCAAGGTCGCCTTTTCTTCTCCAATCCCCGGCCACACCATGGGCATAGATCTGGGGGCAATGGGTGGCTCCATGATGTGCTCACGGCATGCTTTTTTGTGTGCAGCCAAGGGAACGAGCATCCAGGTGGGATTTACACAGAAATTGTCGGTGGGTCTCTTTGGCGGCGAGGGATTTCTGTTGCAGTTGTTGCAAGGCAATGGGCTGGCATTCATCCATGCTTGCGGGGCAGTCGTCAGGCGCGAATTGAAAGAGGCCGAACAGCTCCGCGTGGACACAGGCTGCGTCGTGGGCTTCTCTGCCAGCGTGACCTTCGACATTGCGCGCGTGGGTAGCATCAAGACATCTCTGTTCGGAGGTGAAGGTATTTTCTTTGCAACCCTCACGGGCCCAGGCGTCGTTTGGCTCCAAAGTGTGCCTTTCAGAAAGTTTGCTCTGAAACTGTACAGTGAAATGCCTCATGTCACTCAACACAAAGAATCTTCTGGTAGCAAGGACTGACAGTGCCCCTGGCCGAAGCTCAGAACGCGGCACAGGGTCCTCGTCCTCCGCATGGAACAGCCTGAAGGAAGCAAAAAGGCATCAGATCCGTGGCCGAAGCTTTCCATGTGACCCGATTATGAGAGGATGTCAGCATTCTTTGCACCTGCAACAAGGCTGCCAAACCTTAAAGAGCAAAAGACAACGGCGGGAAGTGGTAGATCGGTAGGTCCTTTTGGGTTTTCAAAATGTTCGGCCAGGAGTATGATAGCTTTGGAGAGGGAGGCAAAGATCATTTGAAAGCGAAAAAAATCAAGGTCGAGCTTGATAAGGCTGGAATGGCACACTACTCAAGATGTACCACTTTGCAGTCATACAGCCGAATTCAAGGCCGCCTCTTTTTGAGCCTCAAGTAAGATCAGACATTTGTGGTCCAAAATCTCTACTACCGTACGTAGAGTTGCGCCTGGAGGTCCAAGAAGAACTGGAGACCATGGAGAAGAACAAGATGCATGGTTCACATTCTGGACAAAGTACACTCACTTTAGCTTTTGAGTGCGCGTTTTTTTTGGTTTCCCCATGCCCATGTTACAAGCCAATCATGAGACGTACTCAGCACAAGAGTCGAGGCATGTTTCTGAACACCAGGCTGTGCTTCACAAAGCAAGCTGGCACCACTACTAAACAATCTTCCGTTGCCTGAGGAAATGGAATGCAGATAACATGTGCAAAACAGCTGGCGCTGGCATTGTTTAAGACAGACCATACGGACTGGACAAAAAGCAAGTCCAACTGCTGAGTCCTGTTGCGATAGAAGGAAGACGAGTTGCTCGATTGCGGGCATGGTCATATTGTAAAAAATAACAATATATACACTGTGTATACAGTGTATACACACCGAAAAGCACCATATTCACATCTATCTTTGGGAGATCGCTGTCCGATTCAGTGCATGGCACAGGAACTCGATCGCTCCGCCAGGTGGAGCAAAAGACCGTGCTGTCCGACAGCAAAGACACTCCGGGGCCCGGTATCCCCACGGTCGAATGGGGCGAATGGAGGGCGTCAGGCTGTGTTCGTTGAAGTCGATTTGGAGTTGGGTCATGGCACCAGAATACCTTGGTTGATTTACCAAAGTGACTTGCGCAAGATCCAAGACGCTTCCCAACAGCCCTTCACCGTATGGTGGGTGCTGGGGAGTTGGTTGATCTACCTGATGTCTGTTGACCTACCCACATGGTGGACCAAGGCTCCAGGTTGAACCCATCCCCAGTTTGCTGTTCGTTTTTCTCCTATCTTTCCAGTGTCCTTCAACCCCCGAGAGCCTTGACCCGATGCATTAAACCGGGAGTGTCTTCTCACCGCAGTGCTTGGAGGCCTGAACCCCGACTGCAGGGAGAAGCTGTGGCCCAAGGCGCGAGGCTCTGGTTCTGACGAAAAACCAGCACCTCCCAGAGGGGTTTTCCATCTGCTGAAGTCGGATGGCTGTTGGATGGAGTCAGATGGCTGTAGCACCAACACACAGATGCACGACGTGTTCTTTTTTTAAAGGATGTTCAGGGAACCACGTTGGACCAACAAAAGCTGGGCGGGTGCGGGAGGGGCGGGGGGGGCGGGTGGGGCCTTGAGGAGAAGTGACATGACTTGGGAGATGGAGATGGGCCCAGAAAGGGTAGACAACTCCACCTGTATTTTCTGGGGGTGGGTGGGGGAAATACTTGATTAGAAAGTCGATGGCGTTTACAAAAATACTATATACCATCTATAGGACTTTAATAACGACAGCCACTTACGCCATCCATGAACACAAAAACGCCCTGAAAATTGCCAAACTCGACCGCGAGAACCTCGCGATTTTTTCGGTATGTTTTGGCAGTGGATGTGAGCCATATAACTTTCACATTTGCAAGTTCTTATTCATATGTTGCTCCGCCCAAGTTATTATATAAGTACTGCAATACTCTTTAAATGGCTTCTTGTTGAAGCTGTCCTTGTGCTGTTCACCTTTTTTGGGGGGAAGCGTCGGGCATGTTGCCGAGTTGCCTGAAAAAAAAGGTCGTGCTGGTTGTCAGTCCAGGGAGTGCAGAAGCTGGGACTTGAGCATCGTAGCTTTAATGAGCAGTGCGCCATCTATGTGCTAGAATGCAACTCTCTCTCTCTCTCACTCTTTGCAAACTTCCCTCTATATTTTAAGTGATATGACTTTCCCAGTTTGCAAGATTTTGGGATTTTAAGATGATGCACATGTACATGCGAGTTGTGCCATCAGTGTATCTGCCGTCTCGTTTGAGTTGCACCATCTATTTTCCGCCCGGTGTATGAAGAAACCGATACCCTCCCAAGGAACGTGCTGGGGTCGAAAAACCATGGAAACCAATAACCAATAGGGGGAACCATCAAATTATAGCACGTCAAGCGGGCTACTGCATGTTGGCCGGCACTCACTTCACCTGTGGACCTTTTACAAGAAGTCGAATTGACACGAACCACACAAGCTGTGATAGGCTATTGCGAGTTTGTGGAGGAGAATGAGGTGTCTGGGCTCGGCTTGGGTCAAGTTTTTGGCGCTTGCAGCTTGGACTTTTGATTGCGTTCACTGTCGGTTTTTGTTCTTGAAGTGACTTAGAGCCTTAGCAGCACCTCCAAGTACTGCACTGTATATTGTATATGAGCTTTTGTACACTCGTGAAAGCCAACATCTCACTTCAGCCTACCACATCATATTGCAAGAACGAACGAAGGAACGAAGAAACCAGCAGAATAAAGGCATCTGATTTGGCAGTGGGTCAAAGCCAGGGGACCCTTGTCATCCTGGTTGACCACCGAGAAATGAACAGAATAGACTACCAGACGTAGTCAACCCACCAGCGTTTGGAGCTCCAGGTTTTGACCCACTGCCATTTGGTTGAGTTTAGGCTGAAATTGTCAGCTCAGGCCTTCGACCTGGTTTTGATTTGATTGCATAGTCATAATTTTTGGGTGCATAGAGCTACATAAGATGCTGCGAGCGCTTAAGCACTAGATTTGTTGAGTGTTCCGGACAGACTTGCCAGGACTTGTTAGAGAGCTACATAGCACTTGGAGAGGAGGAGGAGAGGTCATTGTGTGGTCTTATTCAGCTCTTTCACTTCCAACATTGCTTTCACAGTCGCCTTTCGTCACTCGCATGTCTAGACTAGAAGCATGATGAAGCACGTCCACGTCCTGCTTTGGACAGCTTCCGGAGGACCTGGAAAAAGTGGGCAACTTTCTCCGAGCGCACGGCGGGAAGCTCTTGCAGGGTGAGTCTCGGCAAATGTGGCAAACACCACACGGTTGAGCCTTGGGATGGCATGGGCAGTTGAGCTAGTGCTCTTCATCTTAGCCAACATGCTCAACTGCTCAACGTACCAACCATCTGCTGAGCCAAGGAGCACGCAGAGTGAGGATCCCAGGGTGAGGAGTCAGGGTTGCAGCCTGGGTGGGCCTGGTTTCAGATGGTTTCAGTTCAATGTGCAACTTCAACTTGCACTTCTGGTATGGCTATGTATGGCTTGCTTCAAAGATTTTTGAAAGGAGGGATTTTTGTAGGACAGACCTCCATTTCATTTGTGCTTTCGCGTGTTTTCCACAGGCTAGCTACTAGCAAGGTTCTTGGAAGGAGTCATCGGACATCCTTGGGCCGTAGGTCGTACCTGCTCTTGGATTGCCTGGAGAAGGAAATGAACGGCCTTCACCAGGCTCAGCTTGGTCATGTATTGTGTGAACAATCTCCTGTCGGACTATGATGGACAATGTCACGCTAGTCAACCTTGGCACTTTCGACATACACGCTTTCGTAAGCGAGCGCGGCCCGTCGCTTGTGGACAGGAGATGACGCAGTCGGTGCGACAGTCCTGCACTGAGCTGGGAGTCGCTTGAAAAGCTGCTTGCCGTCGCTGTTCTTGAAGCCGCTTGAGGGCGAAGCGCCAAGGACCGTTGCAAAATCATTCTTCTTTAAATCCGATGAATTGAGTCAGCAGTGCAGCGAAGATTGACGAGAGCCAGACATTTAAGATTCTTGCTCCTCTACTCGTACGGAGGTCCAGAAATGCCTTGAAGATCGTTTTAGGAGGATTTAGAGTGATTTACTTTTTGATCTCTTTCGGGGATCGAGTGTTGTCTTAATACCAACGCCAAGCCTTTGGCGCCTTCACCTGACAGCCTCAGATACCAACTTCTCGTGCAGCTGCGAGAGTTCAGCCGTGCAGCAGGCCGCCCGGCACGTCCGGGAGCCCGGGACTTGTCGCGTCGGGTCTTGGCCTATAGGTCAGTGGATGCTTCACTTCTGGCCCTTCTTAAGCACCATCAACCAGGACCACCCAAGCAGAGGAGTCACAGGGTCAGTCACAAGTTCTTGGGCCAATCACTGTGGCTTTTCGTGGCTTTTCGATCGATCCTTTGTGACTGTCCTAACCCGTGTGGAACGACCGGCCTTCCGCGTGGAACGACGGGGAAGGGACGCGCGCACCGTGGCGATGGAGTGGGCGTGCGAGGACTCGGAGATGACTCGTGTCGTGTCAAGTGATTGACTTCAGACAGATCCCATGTGGGCAATATACATGCCTACGACGCCCAAAACTTACCCCAATGTAGGCAAACATGGCAGTTCCATGGAGTGTGTGGTAATGAGGTTCAGAATCATGGCACATGGATACCACTTTCTGTGTGCTAGTGCTAGAATCAGCGGCTATAATTTGAAAAGAGTGTGCACCAGAATGAGAACCCGCTACACTCTAGCGGATGTTCGTTCTTTTACACATCCTTTCACATCCTTTCACACATCAAGGTCCTCACCGTCCTCACGAGTCGCCTCCCTCTGATCTAAGGCGACTCGGTGAATCCCATCTTCCAGCGCCTCATCGAGCAGCTGGGCGGACATTAATTGGAAAAGGGACATTAAGACATGACAAGACAGAGATTTTTCTGCAAAACCCTGCAGGCTGAAGTATCCTTAAGTATTTACTATGGTGCATGCTGTTCTTTTTATGTCAGGGTGATTTCTTTCATCCCTCTATGGCTCCAACTACCGTTTGGATGGTGGTGGGTGCGGTTCTTTCCCTATCATTTTTTCGGATGTGGGTCAGGAACTGTTGACATTCTCTGATTTTTTTGGAACATGTTTTCTATTATGTCTCTTGGATCTTTTGACACGTGGAACCCGCTTTTCTCACGTCCACGTCCACGTCAGCTCCTAGGCATGAAGGAACCCAAGAATCCTTCGAGGTCGCGGGGATCGACACGTGGTCACCTGTCGTTTCGGCCGTTTTTCGTCACGACACACCGATGACCTCGGCACAGGGATGGAGAGGTGGAAACACCGGAGTTCAGACATGACCGTGTTTTGGCCCACATGGTCTTCAGGAGACTTGCCAAAATTTTGTGCGGCGGATAGAAAAGCGCGCGGTGGAGAAGAAGAAGGCCACGGATTTCCGCGTGCTTTTTTTGTATACTGGTCCTCTACCCCAGCCACCAGCATGAGAGATCATGAGAGCATGTTTTCTGCTGAAAACTAGTGAAGTGGCTGCTGAAACTTCCAGAAAGGCGATGTGACGATGTGTGAGCCGCCCTTGGGCACTGACCCCCTCTTTCTTCAGCCGCTCGGGCCGGTCTGAAGAACCGGCCCAACATAGGAGATGGACGCGGAGGAGGCGGCAAATCCTTTAGGGCCAGGCGGTTTGGATCCAATGGAGGCCGGATGAGACCCAAAATTGACTGTCGGCTGTGGAGTCAACGAGTAACAGGAAGGGTTAAAGGTTTTTCACTCTGGAATTGAGAAGGGTCTTTAGACTTCTATGACTTCTGTGAAGCCATCGTCCACTAGGCAAGGCCCTGGGCCCTGGTAATGGGATATTAGTCCATTGTCTCAACAAAAAGGGACAGATCCCGACAAGGGACTGATAATTGTGTGCTGCCTCTCCTTTGGACCTTGTTGACTGGCAGCGTTCTGCGAAAAAAGAACGACCGGTGATTGTGGTTTCCATGCGAAGATGTCATCAATTCTGGGAGGTTGGTCACGCAAAGTCAACTAGGATCTTTTCTGGCTGGTTTCTAGTGGGTATGTCTTTTTCGGCGAACTAGTTCCCTTGGTAAGGTGAGATGGGCTCCAAGAAGCTTCTTGTTCCTCCTGTTAGTCAAGAGTGAGCCCAGCCATCATGATCATGAGGTCTTTGCAACGCTGCCGGAGGAGATGCAGTGGCCAACTCAGTTGGGATCTAACGCGCACCTCCATCCGAGGCTCAGAGGACGAGGACATGGAGCTAGAGGTTGGGTGCTCCAGGACGGTTCTATCTTGGGGCTCTTGGGATGGCATCATCGCCTCGGGGCGGCGACGATGCGAGCCCAAACCCAGATGTGATTCCTTTCCACCGGACCTTTGTTTTCGCCCGTCCACCCACCGACTTCGGTCGCCATGGTGGCGACGGCCGTCCGGAACCGAGGATCGCCTTCCGAACGAAAGACCTCCAAAGGCTGCAAGCTGCGGTACCTCGTTTGCCATTGGCATGTCAATGATGTGGTTTAGTAGCATGTCAACGTGGTGGTGCATTAAGATGCATTAAGATCATATAAGGGACACCCACACAGGGCCCTAGAATAGTACAAGGAACAATGGACAAAGCCCAACTCATTGGGGGGTCTCTCTCTAGTCCAATGCACACCTATGTGAGCAAACACATGCCTTTCAGCATGTAGCTGGTGAAGCTGTGAAGCTCCTTTTCTTCTGCCCTTTCCTTTCTCTCGCTGCAACCGCAAGAGAGTGGCTGTTTTCAGAACCCACAGGCTGGCTCTTTTGGTGTGGTGGACAGGGGCAAACGTGTCGGGCAAACGTGTCAACAGGGTTGCTCTGATTGTCACTTCTAAAGTCTTGCAAGAGTCTTCTAGCATGTGGTTCTTTTTTGTGTAAGCGAGAGATGACACATGAACCATGTCAATGCAGGATTTCTTTTTTCCAACGCCACGCAGGCTTTGGTAAGCCGGTAAGCCTTGAGTCGACCACCTTCGGGCGTTTCGCGAGGTGGAATCCTTGCCAGAGGAGGAAGCCAGGTATCACCTGCAGCGCTGCGAGGAAAGTGGCTTGTGGGTGCCCAGTACAGAGGCGCCCAGTACAGTGCGAAAGCAACATGTGGAGCATGGTATTTTCTTGGAGGCCATCGCTCCTCGGTTCGAGTCCATCGCTCTTAGGTTGGAGGCCATCACTCTTAGGTTCCTTAAGGTTTCTTTAAGGTTTCTTAAGTTCTCTTTTTTGGGCTCTCTCTCTCTCTCTCTGTTTGTTCTTATGAGACCCCCCACCACTGGATCGCTCCGAACCTTCCTGGGGGGGTCGTTCAAGAGGTCACCGAGGTCAGCCCCTATTTGAGCTTTCGCGGTTTGGAGCATTTGCAGGCTGAAGAACTGGTTTTCAATGGATTTTACACCTCTATGGCGGTGTAAAATGGTGGCATATTATGAAATTCTAAGCAAGGCAAGGCCCCCTCTCCCGACATTGGATCATCTATTTCAATGGATGTGGTCCAATTCTTTGTTCCATCCGAGTGTCTCTAAGACTTGTCCTGACTTAGTACGACATCCCGTGACTGAATCATTTTTGTTGGGTCTGTCACATGAGCTGAAACAGCCAGTAAACAATTAAGAATCATTTTACTAGCCATCACATTTTACTATATATATATAAAGTTATATTAATATTTTGATGGACAAATGAAGAATCTATATATTCCAGCAAAAACCCTGGAGAACTGAATCGATTCGCAACAATAAGCATCGCAGATCAGCACAACGCAGGCTGGAGCTCCTCCCTACAGAGCTTGAGATTCAGAGTCTCAGGCACGCCTTTATTGAAACAACCACGTGTTCTTGGTACGACCCAACGCCAAGTATTGGCGATGAACATCATTTTTGGCAAATCTGGGTGAAGAAGAGCTGGTCATGAGCTGGTCCGAACATGTCGGCTTCCGGCTTTGCCACCACGCAGGTGCTCAGGGCTGATAATGAACCCTGGCGCTGCCAAAAAGGTGGTTCCATCTCCAAGTGGCAAGCAGGAAGTCAGGAATCTTAGAATTATATTTCCACTTATCCCTCCTTCTGTACCCACCTACAATGGACCACTCGGTTGTTCTGCGAAGTGCAACAACAGAACCTATTGATCCCTACAAGACACTATTTTACAAGCTATACTTATATATGGTATCGTATTGTACTGGCCGGTGCTTGCTCTTGCTCCCCGATCTGCAGCAGTTGTTCTGCGACACATTGTTCTGCAAAACACCTGCTTGCCATGGGCCAAGAGAGCCGCAGAAAATGCCACGAATCTTTCATCTGAGAGCAGAGACAAACATCCGATGTACTCTGAGAAATCCATAGCATCACAGTGATGAGAACGTCCAACGTGGCTTGAATCTTTCACATGTTTCTCAGCACTTTGGCCCGGAGTAGACGCAGCTCGGCTATGATCCAAGTTGCCAACATGCCAGTTGGAAGTAGCAAGCAGCACTGTTGCACACATGCCTGTATTTTCACCACGTGAACCTCTCTACATGGTCACGCCACTAAAAAGAGCGGCCAGGCAGGTTTGCTCCAAGCCTTACTGAATAAGAGTATACAAACTGGAGTCAGGTTTCATTTCAGATGGCCGCAGCCTATGTAGAGGGCCGGCAATCGATGGAGAATCCAGATCAGTTTTCGTCCTTGGCACCTTGGTTGCAGCAAACAAATTTACAGTGGTTTCAGAGTCTATGGCACAGACCCCATGATGTTCTTTAGATGGAGGTCCATATAAACCACCTCTTGGGGTCTGTGCCATGTACTCTCAATCCACGATATTTGTTGTTGAGATGAGTGATATCAAAACCAGAACCCCAAAAATGCATTGGGAGGTTGACGTCAATTCACCTCCCTCTTTGAGTCGTTTTTGGTTTATTGGTGGGACCTGTCGGGGGGTCTTCCCCTCAACCACCACATATGCCATGACCCCAAAACCACCATCAAATACCCTGCTTCTTGTTACTAGAAAGCTTTATTGTTACTAGTAGCGTTGGCCTCCAACCTAATAGCGATGGCCTCCACCTAGTAGCTTCTTGCTCCTAGTAGCGATGGCCTCCACTCCACCTAGTAGCTTCTAGGGCACTGGAGTGTTTGTGGCAGGGCCAAAGTGGCTGGGCGGCTTCAAGCTCCTGCCACTGGGCGGCTCCACGAAGCGATGAGCGTATCCGTGCGTACCGCCCGTGCGTACCGCCAGCATCGTTCATCCGCGACATCGGTTCTGGGAGGACCGGGAAAAGACGGAACGCACTGAGAGATGACATCGGTTCTCATGAATCATTCCTCTACACCAACCGATTCTGGATGCAGCCCTTCTGAGCCTCACCTCAGAATTGGAACATACTGAACTTAAAGGTTCTTCGGTCAAAAGAGCACCTCCGCCCTCACCTTCAGGCCCCACCAGGCTCCCAAACCCCTCCAGACTCGCCCCGGTCGAGGTCTGGTTCCGACGCGGGGCCGCGAGGGGCCTCATGCAGCCGCCGAGACTGCACTGATGGAAGCGATCAATGCCTTGTCACCTGGGCTGTGAGTGGGGCTGGGTTGGACGTTGACGCCGGTGAAGGCGCGGATTTGGGGATGGATTGACATATATGTATACTATATATATATATACTGTTCGGGTCTGTCCCAATGACCTGTAACAGATCGGTAAAGAAGGTATCACTGTTTTAGAGAAAGGCCTGTACTAACCAATCGTCATCCACTGTTAATTACTGGTAATGGGATATATCCAACATATATATATAATATAACAGCTCTGAAACTGCCTTTGACACCGAGCAAGCCCAACATCAGACCGAAGGTGGGGAGGAACGACTCAAAGAGAACCATTTTCATCCAGCTGTGTGAATCGAGGCTTCAAGCCTGACCAAGACCCTCTTGGCTGGCTCTCTCTCTCTCTCTCTGAAACAATCATGGAAGCGGGCATATGGTCATCCAAGGGCCTCTAGTCGATCATCTTTCATCTATCTTCCCCTTCTGTCAAAGGAAATCATCATTCTCAAGGTGATGATTTCTGTCCGTCCCAGTGAACATCACAATTCAGGCGATTTCTCCAAGTCCAAATGTCCCTGCTTGGGCTTTAAGCTATGTGGTGCGTAAAGGTTGCCAGCTCCATTCGCAAGCCATTCTATCAATTAATAGATGCTGGGTACACCAGTTCAAGAGGTTTCCTGCTCAGAGAGGTCTGCAACAGTCGGTACAAACAATTGTCACTATTTTAGAGAAAAGATGGAAAGGCCTTTACTGGCCCATCATCCACTGTTTCTGGTCATGGGCTATGATATGACCAAGTTTTGCCCTTCAGCGTTTGGACACTGAAAAGCTCGGCTGGTCCGGGAAGGTGTCTACTGAGGTTGATGTTTGACGCCTCGACGTCCAGTCCATCGCGCAAAGACGGAGGAGCAGTGGTTGTACTCCTGAAGCATCTCAACAAGACATGGATATGTTGCATTCTTTTTTTTGATGGAGTCTGATTGTCTGATTTCGTGACATCTAAACAATGTAGAATAAAAGATCAATGAATGAATTGTAGTTTTTTTTTGGTGACCTTGAGCAGCGATGTCGGCTTTTGCTTGGCTTTTTTGGCTGCAAACTTGGCCACTCATCCTGGGGACTCGGCCAAGGAAAGGTTGTTTGAAAGCTCTCCGGGCACCTCAAGCTCTCGCACGAGCGGCGGAGTACGCAGGAGCGCGGCGGACTCGCCACCGCCACGGTGCGATGCCATGGGTTTGGCCGAGCGAGTTTCGGCACAGGTTGGTTGGTCAAAACCCTAAACCCCATTGGTTGGTCCATAGGATTGTGACTTCTTGTGGAGCAACGGACACGGACACGGTCACGAAACCATTCCAACAAATGGGTGAAGGTGTGGAGGTGGGCCATGGCCCCCCTTTCGGAGAGGTGACCAACTCCGCCTCCGGCGGAAAACCCAGGCCGGCCCGGACACCTTCGGACTTCGCGGCTCCGGTTTTGGTGGACTGCGGAGGAGGTCTTCCAGCCGCCGTCCTGCCTCCAGGACCTGTCATGAATTTTTTGGTGGACTTTGTCATTCAGAGACCCGACCACATCCTTCAGATCGCCGAGGCACCGTACGGAGGGCAGAATGCCTGCAGTTCCGCGGTACGTACGGCAAAGTGGAGCCAAGTATGCATTCGGCAAGGTACGCATTCATTCGGTCTGTAGTGTGTTTGTTTTCGGTGTTTTTTGTTGGGAGGGGCACTTTAAAGGAGGCTTTCACTTGCCACTGCACATGTCCAGAGATCAAAAAGATGCTGTCCAGAAAGGATTTGTTTTTTTTGGCAGCCTGGGGAGTTTTTCTCCGACCCAAACTGGTCCTGTCAACGAAACCCGATCGGTGTTTTGCCACGATCGACCGTCGATCTCCAGGTCTTGAACATTGTTCTCACTTCTGAAGAGTGGCTGCAGCATGTGCAAACCGATGGAGAACGAAACGGGGCCCCTTGCCTGAAAGCATCTTTAAAACTCCATGTGGCTTCTCAATCGAACCAATTCGAAACGTGTATAATATATCACTGTACGAAAGCCAGCCGATAGGCTAGGCTTGAGCTCTTAGAGCGAACGAAGTGAGTTAAGGGGGTGGGGGGGGGAGGGCGCGAAAGGCACCTTTTGAGAGGGTGAACCCGGAGCTTGGTGGGGGAGAGCGCTCCAAAGCGAGGGTCAGAGAAGCAGTGAAAATGGGGTCTGGTGATGCGAGTGATGCAATGGACGCCGAGTAGTGCATCATTAGCATCATGAAGGGGTTTGGAGACAATTTTTCTAGTGTATTAAAAATGCTCTGTTGCAGCATGTGTGAGTTGCTTCTTGTTTGAACCACACCCAATTCAGTTCCTGGTAGCAAACCACGCATAGCCGCGTAACCAACAGGCGTCAAGCACCTGTCCTCCGCAAACGCTCTAGTTGCCCCGTAAAACAGTGTGAAGCAAAACCACAACACCAGTCCTCCACTTGATCAGATTGTTCAGGCTTCTCACTGGCCTTCGCACGCTTTTTTTGGCGCTGGTGCATCAGAATGCCCAGGAGAATAGCAATAGCAAGTCTTCCGGAAATTGCTCAGGTCGCTCATGAGAAATTGAAAGGGCATAGGGACTGTGTAGCTCTGATCATAGAAGGACCAAGCAACAAAGAGTGAACGCTCTGGGAGCGAACGATGTGAGTATGTTCAGTTGGGCGAGGTAGAGGCTTGGGGGGATAAGAGCGCCGCAAGAGGAGAGGCAAGAAAGCTGCAAGCGTTCAACACTTAATGCTGTGCTCCGATCTTGATCCCACTCGCAGTGATACCAGCTCGACGAAACGACAAGCTTTCAACTATAGGTGCTCTGCTATTTTTTCCTCCCAGCCCTGCTCTCTTTAGGGCTTCACATTGATGCACGATACCCGAAACACATTTCAACACAACCACAAAAACCATTTCGGGCATCATTCTCCTGGTGTTCACTGACGTTTATTTTTTGCACGGATTCTCAAATAGAACACCAACAAGGGACGCCCCAGAAGGCGCCGCACCAAGCAAATCAAGAATACTAAAAACATGCAACACTTCATGCTGTGTTCCGATCTTCATCTACCTCGCAGTGATACCAGCTCCACGAAAACTACAACCATTCAAGAATGAGTGCTCTCCCTTTTTTTTCTCCCAGCCCTGCTCTTTATAGGCCTTCGCATTGATGCACGATGCCCGAAACACACTTGAAAACAACCAGAAACAACCTTTCGGGCATCCTTCTCCTGGTCTTCACTGACGTTTATTTTTACACGGATTCTCAAGTAGACCACCAAACAGGGACGCTCCAGAGAGCACCGCGCCAGGAAAATCGAGAAAATTTAAAACATTCAACACTTCATGCTGTGCTCCGATCTTGATCTACTCCACGTTGATAAAAGCTCCACGAAAGCTACAGGCATTCAACAATAAGTGCTCCGCTATTTTGTCCTCCCAGTCTTGCACTACCATATTGGTCTCTCGCTAGCTTTCGTCCTCTCCTTTCTCAGGTGTATATATATATATAGAGAGATGTTCTCTGCTCTCATTATAGGTTTCTTCACGCATTGCTCATGTTGCTCATGAAAGCCTGACCGATAAGGTGTGGTACATTGTTGGAGGGTGGAATTGGTTGGTTTGTCACCAAGAAAATTCAATGACCTTCACCGGAAGACTTTCAAAAGAGATTTAAAATCTCGATAAGAGATTTAAAATGCAAAACAATAAAAAAATCATGCGACCCTGCTCTGATCTAATCCTACTCTGATCTAGGTAGTCAAATTTTTTCTGGTGAGCTTGGGCGAGTTTGGGCATTCGCTTGACAGGTGCTGCAGACTCGCATACAGGAGCTCAGCGCTGAGCAACAAGCAGCATTGGGAATTCAGAATGTGACTGGGCTCAGGATTAGTGCATGGCAATACATGAGCAGTGCCCATGTTCCTGCACCCAGATGCTCCAAACAGCCCGACAGGTCCCTCAAAACGGGATGTGAGGGCCCCAGGGGCCCACCCCCTCTTGAGCCTGGGAAGATTCCGGCGAAGCCGGGCTGACCATGTAACCGCCCGGTGGCGGCATTCGGTAGCGACCGAGCTGAGGAGGTCGGAGTAGGAGGTCGTGCAGTTTCGCCAGTTCACCACATGGTCTACTCACCATACTCACCAGGTCGACCAGATCTTACCTGTCTCCTCTGAGGATACCTTCCTGTCGCTGCTGAGTGAAGACGTTGGGCGACTCGCCAAGGCGAGTTCCTCGAAGCTTTTACAAGATGCATGCCAAGTGAGGCGAGAGGGAGCGTGCTTCTTCTTTCAATCGCTACGTAGCTGTTGTTATTCTGTTCAATTTATTGTTATTAATCATAAAACACATCATTATATGATAATCTGTCTTTAAAATCAATTCGGTTTCGTGCAGTCCATGACCGAAGTGCGGTCTCATACCAAAACGGCTTCTTTGTCCCACTGTGAAGGGCCCAAGATTCAATGTTGAAGAGCCAGTGGTGTCGAATTCTGAGCCTGACCCAACCTTTTTGTGTGAGCTTGACTGATGGTTTTGGCTTTCCGTCATTCCGCTTGGCCCAATGCCTTACCAGGGGACCCTTTTGCCAGTTTCCTTTGCAAGCCATGTGTGCTTGACTTCGCTACGGCGCCTGAGAGAAAAGCTGGCTTGGTGCGCAGCTTCTTCAGAGGATTGGTCCTCTGTGTTTCTTTGTGCTACAGGTTGCACTTTCTTTGATTGGCAGTTGAGGTTGCCATACATTGGTACTTGGGGTTTCGCTCTTTCCACTAGAGGCTCCCCTGCTACCGACACTGGTAGCGGAGCCTCCGGTCTTCGGACTGGGGGCACCGTTGCCAGGGTCGGTGGCTGACTGGAGGTTCAGGACTTTCTTGCAGAGCAACTTGGCCTTGTCCCTTCGTTGCTGCCCACCACAAATCCAACCGGAGATCGAACATCGATCATTGATTTGTGTGTGAAGGCACGTCAGCCACGACCGTTGACTTTTCCCTTGCCTTTGACCTGACGGACTGTTGAATTCAACCTTTTACATTGTGAGATGGCAACGATGATGGAGAAGAAGGAGCAAGTGGCCACGTGGAACGGTGACCCTACCACGTGGCTGGAATACGTGAAACGGGTTCGCTTGCAGTTTGAGCGAACAGAGAAGAAGAGGAGGTGCTTGTTGGGTGCAGAGCTTGCTTCGAGGCTCACGGGCCGAGCCTGGGACATCGTCAGCGCTGAGGTCGATCATTCTCAGTTGCAGAAGCGTGATGGTGCTGCATATTTGCTTCGTTTTCTGGAAGAGCGTTTGTGCAAGGCACCTGTCCCGGATACAGGCCAGAGGCTGGAAGACTTCTTTCTTCGCCTGAGGCGAACACCTGGTTCGTCCATGGCAGAGTGGGCAACCCAGGTGAGAGAAAGTTACCGTCGACTTCAGCGAGCTATGGCACGACAGCGAAAAGACTTGGCAGACCGTGATGGTCAGTTGAGAGAGCGTGCAATGTCTTCGACTCACTCCAACCCAGGTCATCGTCGACAGTCGGATGTCACTACACCCAAAGCCCCTACAGCTTCAGTTGAGAGCGCAAGTCCTGGATTTCCGGCCACCGATTCTGGAAACGGCCAGACCGACAGGCCTGATGATCCAAGGGAGACAGATGAGCCCGACCGAGGTGCCTATGAGCGCGTTCCCACACAAGACCCTGGTTCCGATGCAGGCCATGACTGGTGGACCCAGGAGGAGTGGGACACGTGGCGGCGCAGGAACCGCCATTGGCGTCGTGACGATGCCATGTCATGGACAGCTTGGGAGGAGGATGAAGAGGAGGATCCGGTGATTGAGTGGGAACAATTTGATTTGGGCTCCGAGCGCATTTTACCGGATGAGATCCTTGGTTGGATCCTTTTGCGCAGGAGCGGCCTTCCAGCAAATGCTAGGTTGTCAGTGTTGAGCGCTACCAACAACAGGTTGGACCTTGCATCTATGGAGCGTGCTATGCGTGACCAGGAGGAGGAGTTGTTGGCCGCCGAGGCCCATCGCAGTCGCGGTGATTTGCCCCGACCTCGTCGATCGTTTTGGGTTGAAGAGGATGCACATTGGGGCTTGTTGTCAGAAGTTGACATTGAAGATGTTGATGACAATGTGTTTTGGGTTGGCGAACGACTTCCCCCTGATGTTTACAGTGCTCCTGCTGATGAAGGCAGTGCTTGGTCGACTTGGCTCCCTGATGGCCAAGAGCTGAGTTGGGAATGGCATGAAGATGATTTCTATGCCTCTGATGCTGCAGGAATCTTTTGGTCCTGGTCAGAGACCAAGACCTGGTTGGATATGTGCGATGCCCCGACCTCAGATGGAGATCCACTGCAAGAGGCCTATGCGGCCTTTCAAGATCGTTTTCGAACATTCAAAGAGAGCCGAGCACTCAATTCAGCAAAACATTTGTCCAGAGGTTTTTACCCCCTTGGTCAAATGAAGGGTAAGTTCATGCAAGCCAAAGGAAAAGGGAAAGGAAAGTCTAAGACCAAGAATCCCCCCAACAGTTCTTTGGCCACCAGCACGGTTGCACTCTACGCTGGAGGGGCGAAAGGAGCTCCATCAGGGCAGAAGCCTGGCAGTCCGACCTACAAAGGTTGCTTTGTTTGTGGTTCTCAGGACCACGACTTTAGGCGCTGCCCCAAGAGACAGAGTTCTTCCAACACAGGAGCTCCGGCCCGATCTCTCTATGCTGCAGCGGTGTTCATGGTCAGTTCTGAGCAAGCTGACGAGATTGCTGATGTGACCTTTCCCACCGGAGATGTTCTTGCGACTTTGGCTGCCCAATTTCCTGGCCACGCAGTGCTGGATTCCGGCGCGACGGAATCGATCGCTAGTTTGGAGGCAATGCATGAGGTCATGGAGTTGCGAGCCTCGATCCACGGTCCTGAGCATTTTGTAGTGCATGCTCAACAGAAACGTTTCCGTTTTGGAAACGGGAGCATCCAGCACGCAGTGTCTTTTGTAGAGCTTCCCCAGATAGTGGCAGGCAAGCATGTGAAGCTGGGCGTTCACGCCCTGGATGCACCGGGCATTCCTTTGTTGCTGTCAGTCAAGACACTGACGACCCTCCGTGCTGTGATAGATTTTGATGAAGGCCTGATCTGTTTCAAGGAGGTAGATCCTTCAGTTTGGATCAAGCTGAAACGAGCATCCAACGGCCATTTACTTTTGGACCTCACCAAAGACTGGCTTTCTGACCGGCCAGATTCATGTCTCACGGTGCACGACTTGCACGACCCTGAGCCCGCTCCGATGTACAAGGCCGCACTTGCTGATGACACCACATCATGCGAGAAGAATGTTTTTGAGAATGTTCATACCACTCCACCAACACTCCAAGAGCCTCTTCACGATCGGCATGAGCGCATGAGTCATGATGTTTTTGATGGAGTTTGTCATGAAGAGTCGCATGCAGTATTTGAACATGTTTTGCCAGCAGTTGCACACGAAGAAGCACATGAGTCTGTTTTGCAAAGCTCTCATTTGTCACAGAATGCCACCTGCGTGAATGATGCGAATCCGATGGACTCAGGCTCAAGCATGCGGTGCGCTTTGCCATTTGTGGTAGCTGCTACCGTGCTTTCTTCGACAACCTCTCCTCCAAGCTCTTCGACTCCAAGCTCGCTTCCCTGGCTTCCCCATGGCGGCACAGTCCAGCGAAGCCACCAAGGCTTTGGCCACGACTCCGGTTCCAAAGACGACAACGAAGAAGAAGGGCACCAGGGTGCCGACACCGGAGAAGTACGACATGAGCCGCAGGGAAGGTCCCGACGGCCGGGACAGCCGGGCACAAGGATTTCCTTGCTATGGAAACCACACTCCGATGCCCGAGGGGCGTGGGAGCCTGTCAGGCAGAAATGGCCATGGCAAATGGACAGTGTGCACTCTATGTCGGCTCCGGATCGAGTACGTGCCGGCGTACGGTGCAAAAGGGTGTTATCGCCAGCCCGGACCCCTTGCTCCAGATGTGACGACCGTCATGGAGCAGGTGAAGGACGACATCAAGGACAAACCAGAAGTCCGGGAGAACCTGAACATGAAGATGGCGAGCACTCTTGGAGCAGAAGCTTCCCTTCGAAAGAAGCTGGAAGTCCTCGAGAACGACAAGATCAAGCTCCAATCCAAAGCACGAGCTCGACCGGAAGCGGTCAAGCAGGAACAGGACGTAGTCCTCAATGCCTCAGCTCCCAAGAAGACCCTCAAGAGAGAGAATGTCCAGGAATCCGAGGAACAGGAGACAGCGGAATGGGAGAAAGTGACACCATCTCCCGAAAAGCCGTGAGACACCACATCACTGACGAGACCTATGAGACTGAAGATCCCTTCGGCCAGATCTATGGAAAGCTGACTCCACTGCAGCAGGAAAGCCTCGTGACCTCAGCCGACCACTATCAACAAGAGGCAGAGGAGACCTTTGAAGTGCTCTTCAACACGTCGTCTCAGGTAGACTTGATGGAAGTGTGTTGTCCTCCTGACAGTCGCTTGTCCCAGACATTCCTGGCCTGCCGGCCCATGACCTGTCCAACTCCAAGGACACTGAGGAGATCATCGCCATGATCCATGACTTGAGGCCCAAGATGATGTGGATCTCTCTTCCTTGCGGACCTTACTCTCCTATTCAGCACATCTTCAACCAGGCAACTCCGGAGCAAGAAGCAGCACTGCTTCTGAAGAAGAAGAGATCTCGGAAGCTCATTCGCAATGCCCTTCGCCTGGTGAAGACACAGCTTGAAGAAGGAGGACATGTATGTTGGGAATGGCCTCAAAACAACGGTGGCTGGCGACTTCCCGAGCTCAAGGTCCTCTATGATCTGATGAACCAGTTCAAGGAGACGCACCATGCCCACATCCATGGCTGCGCCTTCGGCGTGAAGAATGCAGTGGGTGTGCCTTTGAAGAAACCATGGAAGGTGGTTTGCACTTCACCCTCTATGGCAGCTGCGCTGACTCGCCGATGTCCTGGAAACCACGAGCATGCCGAATGCATTGGTGGGCAAGATGCTCGAAACTCAGGCTTCTATCCAGAAGCCATGTGCCGGACTATCTTTCGCACGGTCCAGTCTATGAACCACTCTCTGGATGGTGGAGCCTTTGCCGAGTCCTTTCCCATCTTCGATGACACCCTGATGGAGGATGAGAAGGAGCTCAACTTAGAGAAACCCCTGAGCGACAGTGAACGAAAGATGGCCATGCAGACTTTGGCCAAGCTACACCGACGCACCGGGCATCCCTCCAATCATGCCCTATCTGGTTGCCTCAAACATCGTGGAGCTCACCATGAGGTGATTGAGATGGCAAAGAAATACCAATGTCCAGAATGTCAAGAGCTTCGGCTAGCTGAGTTGAACCCTTCTGGAGCTCTTCAGCGGTCCGACACTTTGTGGGAAACACTGGTTCTGGACAATGCTGAGATGACCGTCGACAACCAGGTCATCCATTGCATGATTATGATGGACGAGGCCTCACGCCTTGTTTGCCCTCACTTCCTCTTCCAGCATGAGAAAACGGTGAGCCGAAACTGCACAGGCTTTGAAGCTATGCAGGCCATTGAGGAGACCTGGATCAGGCACTATGGCAATCCAGCCGCCATCAGGCTGGACCCTGAGGGCGCCTTCAAGTCCTCAGAATTGGCGCAATGGGCTGCTGAGAGAGGCATTGAAGTTTTGCCATGCGCTGCTGAAGCTCATCAGCAGATCAGCGTGGTTGAGAGGATGATTCAAACGGTGAAGAACACCGTCAAGCAGCTGCTCCAGTCCGGAGAGTTTGAGGCATGGTCAGCAATCATCCATGCATGCCGCAGTCACAATGAAGGTGAACGCATTGAGGGGTTCACTCCTTTCCAGTGGGCCTTCGGACGAATGCCTACTTTGAGCGGCAGTTTCCATGAAAAGTCGCCCGACCTCCCTTTCTGGACGTCTTCAGGTGTACCTGGAAGCGCTATGGCCGTGAACCTCAAACAGCGAGTGATGGCGCAGAATGTCTTCATGAAGAACCAGGCCTTCGACCAGATCACCCGAGCGGCCAATGCAAAGACCCGCCGACACCAGATCTTCTTACCTGGTGACCTGGTCTTTTTCAAGAGAATCAAACCTCCTGCTCAACCACAAGCAGCAGTCAGGATGGCTCACAAGCTGTGGCGCTGGTATGGTCCAGCCCGTGTCCTGGCCTCTGAAACCAGGACCGATGCTCATGGCGCCGAACGGAAGCCTTCTCACATCGTGTGGATTGTGTCACACGGCAGGCTGAAACGGTGTGCTCCTGAACAACTTCGGCACGCCTCAGAACGAGAAAAGACTCTGGCAGAGCATGCCGACTCACCTACGGCCTCATGGACTTTCCATGGACTCACCAAGACGCTCTACAAGGGTGAATATGAGATTTTGGACAAGAACGTCTTTCCGGAAGACCTGGATGCACAGGGGCCACCCCGGGAACGAAGAGCCAGGTCCAGAAGCCGGAACCCCGGCACCCCCGGACCACCAGGCGTGGCACCAGGCACTCCCAGAGCACCGCAACAGCAACCGGCAACTCCGACAGCATCCCAGAGATCCAGAACCCCGGGAAGAGGTTCAGGAGAGACGCATGAGAGAAAGGTGAAACCAGAAACTGTGTCCAAGGCACCAGCCACACCACAGCCATCAGGCACCAGTTCATCCCAGGTCAGCCTGTCCAGATTGGCACGAGATCCAAGATACACGCCCGAGCCAGTGCCAAAACCCAGAACTGTTCCAGAACTCTTTGAGCAGCCTATCTTCAAGAAGCAACGACGCCTGCACCAAAGCGAAGATGAGGCGATGATGGTCAGTGACACTATGACCACGCCCATGGAGGATTTGGCTGACTACGCCTGCGTCCTCTACCTGGACTTGCCAAGCAAAGCCAATGAATGGAGAAAGATGCGACGAACGCCCATCAACTACTTCGTGAAGAAGGTGCGTGGAGCAAAAATCCAATGGCACAAACTTGATCCCACCGAGAAGAAGAAATTCATGGAGGCAAAACATTTGGAGGTGCAGCAATGGCTCACCGCCTCAGCCGTGAAGCGCATCACCGGCGACTATCCCAAAGATCGCCTAGTGAGAATGCGGTGGGTGTTGACCTACAAAGAGAATGGAGCAGCCAAAGGCAGAATAGTGCTGATCGGGTTTGAAGACCCCGACCTAGGCTCAATTCAGAGCTCAGCACCGACAATGTCCAAACGAACACGCCAGTTGGCCCTTCAGTACTCCAGCATCATGCGCTGGCGCCTGCTCAAAGGGGACGTGAAGTCAGCCTTCTTGCAAGGCGACCCAGATGAAGCAGACAGAGCTCTCTATGCTCGCCCGGTTCCAGAGCTGGCGGAAGCCCTCCACATGAAGGAGAATGAAGTGGTCCAGGTCCTCAAGTCCTGCTACGGCCTGGTGAACGCACCTGCTAACTGGTACTTGTGCATCAGACGCACTCTGGCTGAGCTGAACTTCACACAGAGCCGCAGTGACCCATGTCTCTGGTTCTACTACATGGAGACTGGCGACCCCGAGCGACCCAAAGAGCTGGCTGGCTACATTTGCTCTCACGTTGATGATTTTATCATCAGCGGCAATGAAGAGTGTGAACAATGGGTTGAAGCCCTACAGGCATTCCACGGCAGGTTTCGATGGTCACCATGGGAACACCAGAATTTCCTGCACTGTGGTATTCGCATTCGTGAAGAGCCTGACAGCAGCTTCACTCTCGATCACTCGGCCTATTGTGAGGCCATTGAGCAGATCACCTACACCACCAAGAATGAGCATGAGCCTTTGACAAAAGACGAGATGTCTCAGCTTCGGGGAGCACTCGGGGCACTTCAGTGGCGGGCGCAACAGACCGCGCCTCACCTGATGGCCCGACTGGGTCAGCTGCAGAGCTCCATCACCAAAGCCAACATTGAGACTATCAAGGCCACCAACAAGCTGATTCGTGAGAACTTCCAGCATCGCTACTTGTCGGCACGAATTAATCAGCTGGGTGTGGAGGATCCCCGATCGGTCCACTTCGTGGCATGGAGCGATGCAGCCCTTGCAAATCGCATCGACCTCAGCTCTACTGGAGGATTCCTCATAGCAGCTACTTCGGAGAAGATGTTGCTTGGTGAGCGTGCTCCTTTGACGCTAGTCTCTTGGCGTTCCAGCCGCTTAGCTCGAAAAGCCAGAAGCAGCTTGGCAGCAGAGACCCAGGCTATGAGCGAGGCAGATCAAGAGCTCCTTTTTGCGCGACTAGCCTGGGCAGAGTTTTGTGCTTTTGAAGTTGATTTGAAAGCCAGCGAGAAGGCAATCTCGCAAATTCCCGGAACAGTTGTCACAGATGCAAAAGCACTTTTTGACATTTTGTTGAAGAGTGATCTCAATTCGGCCGCGGCAGGGTTGCGTGATAAATATTCCGCATTGGAGGTGCTTTGCCTGCTTGAATCCTTGGCAAAGCTAGGAACCAAGGCTCGCTGGGTGCATAGTGACCAACAGCTTGCCGACCATTTGACCAAACCCCTTCCGGCCGGAACACTCCATAAGGTCCTCAGCGAAGGCGCATGGACGTTGGTTTTCGACCCAACTTTTACAAGCGCCAAGAGGGTAAAGGCGGCCATGCGGAACAACTCGAGCCAAAAGTTTGGGGGCATGTCGAATTCTGAGCCTGACCCAACCTTTTTGTGTGAGCTTGACTGATGGTTTTGGCTTTCCGTCATTCCGCTTGGCCCAATGCCTTACCAGGGGACCCTTTTGCCAGTTTCCTTTGCAAGCCATGTGTGCTTGACTTCGCTACGGCGCCTGAGAGAAAAGCTGGCTTGGTGCGCAGCTTCTTCAGAGGATTGGTCCTCTGTGTTTCTTTGTGCTACAGGTTGCACTTTCTTTGATTGGCAGTTGAGGTTGCCATACATTGGTACTTGGGGTTTCGCTCTTTCCACTAGAGGCTCCCCTGCTACCGACAAGTGGCGTCCAAATCAGACCATCCTGTACTTGCCTAGATATCGGATCAGAGGAACGGCGCTTGGAAAGCAAAACAACGAAAGAGGTGAACTAAGAATGAAGGAACGTGAAATCAAGCATGTTGCTAGGCTGCTAGGATAACCACAGTTGCATAGAACAGTGGTCATGTCCTGCCAGGGCCGAGCTAGAACGGATCAGCCTCTTGGTTGCGCCGGTCGCTTTCTTCGCTTTCCACGACCTGGTGAATGTGCCACGGACCGGGTTGACGGCGTGCGGCGATCTGAGGAGCTGGCCTCGGTGAAGTTCATCAAGGTGGCCTGCGCTTCAAAAGCTCTGTGCAGGAGCTGAGATTTGAGCCGAGCTACCGATCGGGCCATGCTTCTTGGAGGCACGAATTCGGGCACGCAGGAAGACGGGAAACCCAAGGGCCAGAATGGAGCTTTTCAGGGAGGTGGAGCTCCCCAAGACATCTGGGAGGTTGATGGATTCTGTTCATTTCAGGCTGGTAGCCTGTCGGTTACTTGGTGCGAACCACAGTTGGGTCGTTTGGATTCTTGTGGAAGATCTGGTGTTTTGTAGTCTGTAGTGTTGATGTCGCTTTCTGCAAATCCTCATTCTCCCAAGGTTCCGGGACATCCAGCTGGCTCGCGCGAAGCTTCAGGAGCAGGTCCGATACTTTACAGATAAACTTTAGTGACAGTAGAGGCTTGTTCCGACTTTGCATGCCACCGCAAGAAAGGCTGCGGCTAAGGACCAAAAACATAGCAAAGGGCTTCACACATCCTGTGAACTCTGATATTCTCTGGTATCAAAAAGCCATATGTTGATGCCTGCAGTGCGCGAGGAGAACCAGCCGATGACACGAGTCCATCAGGCACCATACTACCGGCGTGGCGGCGCAGTCTGTCCCTCCAAAGATGGTGACTAGTGTGTTCAGTTGGGGTAGAGGAGTGAGACGGACTGAGCTCAACATAGCTCAACCACTGAGCGCAAAAACAGGTTGGAGATCCACCACCACGCCAGAGGGAGGCCGTGCCTTGATCCGATTGAGAGAGGTGTCTTGTTGAAGCAACCCGCGCAGCAGACACCCGTGCAGCGCTGGCGACTGAAGGTTATTACTACCATCCCCGCACCAAAGAGATCCGAGGAGTTCCACCGCAGGCAGCTTCACAAGACACTTGGACCAGCTTCGGGTTTGGTCGGACACTTGGGGCAGGGCGACGTGTTCTTTGGGTCCAGAACGGATCAGAACGGTGGAGCGAACCGACTGGTGGGGATCCAGATGGATCCAGATGGATTGAATGCAGATGGGCGCAACACATCGCAAAAACCACCTTTATCTATCAGCACCGTCCAACAGGTCTCCAAAGTTCAGGCTGCACATGCAATTTCTTGCTTGCTTTCTTCTACTGGTAGTGACTAGAACTGCATCCCAGGTGGTTTTCGCCAGGTGGTCGGGTCCTGGTTGTACTTTACGAGTCGTGTCCTTTCGGATCCACTGGTTCAACGACCGCCCCGACGCCCCGACCCGACGGGACGGCGTGGCTGGTGAGGAGAGTGAGACACCCTCTGCAAAGCCACGTGTGGGAGAGAAGGTGGAGGTCTTTAGCAATTCCGCTCGACGCCACTTGGCAAAGTGGGAGAGTCAAAGAAGAGGGGTAACATCATGGAATCATTGACCCATCCAAAGTGATTGGTAGAGGGAAATATCATGAACTATAACAATGTTAAACATAAAACTAGCTATAGCTATATAGAATACTATACACAGAAACATCTATAAACTAAAAGCTTCAGATTCCTAGGGTCCTCTTTTTTGACTTGACCGGGCATCTCCAGCCTTACCTTGTTTGGACTCTGGACCTGGCGAAAGTGCCAGTTGGCAGGCTTGCGGGGCCTTGCGGGGACTTGCGGGGACTTGTGGGATTGATTCCTGCATCATCACTGAACTGGTACAGTTGCCTTCTGAAAGAGCGATGGCCTCCAACCTAAGAGCGATGGCCTCCAACCTAAGCGCGATGGCCTATGATGATCCCAGGCTGGTGTCCGGGCTTTGTGGAGAAGGTTGGAAGGAGCCGTCGTTGGTCGCGAGGTCGTCCACATCGCGACGAGGATTCCGCACCCCCAAAGCCTGGAAACGTGTTTTGGGCGTCTAAAGCCCTACGAATCATGTTGCACTGCTTTCTCCCACCAGGATTGCAGAGTGCGTGGCTCGAAAAAGAAGCGACCAAACCTGAAAATACTCAACCTACATAGGGGCCGAACCTCTGTTTCATCCACATAGGGGCCGAACCGTTGGAAGCCATCACCAGGCCGGAGCCGAATGCACCCTCTTCCAGTGCCAGTCATGTGGCGCATGTCGCGAAAGGCGATGGGGTACCATTCCATAACCCTGTGGCAAAACCAACATAGATAGACTAATGTGGATTAGACATGGTTAGATAGACCATGATAAACCTTTTTGATCCCAAAAGCAACACCTGCCCACGTGCAGTCAGACGTTGCTCAGCCCAGACCTGGCTGTCTGCCGTCGCCCCCTGCCATCGCCCCCGGTCCGCGAGGACGGAAGTGACCATCGCATTTCAACTTCCAGAAGCAAGGGCCAATGAATGGAGCAAGCACCTTTCTTGCATCCAATATATAGCATTGCTTTGCGAGTTTGCTTTGCAAACTGCAAGTCACTTATATAGGAAGCAGTTTGCTTTGCAAACTGCAAGGAACTTGCTTTGCAAACTGCAATCGGAACTAGTTGGGAACTTCGAACTGACTGGTGCGACGAAAGTAGGGAATGAGGGCGGCTCACCCGCCACTTCTACGGAATGGATCCATGCCCTTTTCCTTCATGAGCCGCGTGAGTCAGTTGGTTATGTTGTTTTAACATCCTCAGCCTTCCGTAACTTCCCGGGCAATCAAACGACTACGGACGGGCGCACCCAATTGTCTTGGCAATTTCGCCGCGGGCAAGGAAGACTCTGGCTCTTGGTCACAAAGAATTGCGCTGGGTATCACGACCGTCAGGATCACCAACACCAACAAGTGGCAGCGCATCCTTTCCCGAACAGCGCGCCCTGTGCAAAACACCCTCAGGTTTCTTTGGCACCAGTTTGCCGAGCAATTGGACGCTTGAGGAAGTCGAATTTTACGACCGGCTGTTTGCCGACTTGAACTCCAAGAGCGACACGTGCTCGAGTCGTCCTGACACCGGGATCGATCCTTTGGCCTCCCTGCAATCGGAGTACCTGGAGCAGTGCGGTCTACCCCGCCGAGCCTTACGAGAGATTTGGCAGGTGGCCAATCCCCACCTCAAGACCAGCCTTGGCCTGGAGGAATTCCGCGCCAGCTGCCGGCTGGTGGGGCACTGTCAAGCGATGTCCCTCCAGGACGAGAAGGTGCCGGCGTGCGGCGGGCTGAGCGGTCGGGAAAAGACTATGCTTTGGAAGGTTTGATCCTCCAAAACAGGGGTCACTCAGGCTCCAGGTAAGTATATTATAAGTATACAATATACAATGCAATATTATATACCATATATTATTTATTATACATATATATATATATATCATTCAGCATGCATCATGTTACCTGAGGGATCTCGCACCCACCTGGCCGCACGATGTGTTTGCGCAGTGAGGTGTGTTGAAATTTCATGTGACGACATCAATCGACCCCTCAACTTCCCCAAAAGGCTTTGACAACGTGATTCCGTCAGCTGCATATTGGACAGTCTGGAGGAATTCTCCAACTGTTTTATTTTTGAGGAGTGTCCAATCGTTCTGTTCGATGTAAATCGTCCTCGCACTCCATGGGTTGCAGTCAGATTTTAGAACAGAGGGTGGCCTTTCTATTTGACCATGTGACAATGTGTGTGTTTTTTTGGGTATGCTGAAACTAATTATATGGCATCTATGGATAACATCCTGGAGGTGTTCGGGGGTACAGCATGTTGGAGCCATACGCCATATGCTACAGCCAAATGAGTTGCTGAAGTGGCACGCGTTTGCAGGTGTTTCGACGCTTGCGTTCTGGGGGAGGTGGACTGCGAGCAGATTTACGCAGCCACTGCTTGGGAGAGCCGCCAGTGCGGTTGCCTGACTTTACCTTGAAAGAAGGGTCCTTGCCAGCTAGTGCAAAAAACTCAAGAAAAGCTTTCGGAGAGACAGGTTCAAACTCGTCATGGTTCCTGATGGTTCATGCATGTTCATGCATTTTACAAATCTGGTCTCCAGGGTATACCATCCTACACAACTTGTGTGACCTTCCATTGGGCACCCAGACAGGATGGTCCCGTCCCGCTGGAGTGGATTTTTCGATCTGTCGTCAGTGGAGAGATTCGGCGGGCTAGTGCACACCCGACATAGTGTTTCAGGCGGGCTACTGGTATGCCACAGATTTAGACCCGTTGTGTTTTGCTTATTATTTCATGTTGTTTCCATTCGAACGGACCAATTATGGTTTCAAGTGGTTTTATATTGTTTTTTGCAATTGATGCGCCGTTGAAGCGTGGATCTTGACTTCGCTTGCCATTCGGACCTTCCTAGTGACCCTTTTGGAGTCCCTGTTGGTGACTTCACGGGCTGTTGGTGACCGGTCACCGGTCAGGGGATCACGTGACCGGTCGGGAGGATCCCTTTTTCTCGTTGGAGGGGTGCGTGTTCCAGCCTCTCGCGTTGGGCGGTGTTCTCCCTCGTCGACCTCGTGAGTCCTCGTGCGTTCTTTCGAGGGTCAACGCTGCGTGAGTGGCCGGTCGCCGGCCGTTTTTGGACTCGGGCCTGGTGGCAATCTTTGGCTCAGCGACGGTCCATAGCAGGAATTGACCCATGCCATGCTTCGAAGCCAAGGGTGACCAGTTCTGATGCTTGGATCGAATGAATAAGTATTTTCTGCATCTAGTGCTCGGTGCTTGCAGTGTGGAGTGCAAGTGCTTTGTGAGCCAACTCAGGACCCTTTGCCGAACTGGGCGGGGGTAATGGCATGTGATGAGCGTGGTTCGAGCATGGCGTGCTTCTTCCATGGCTGCTCACCACCAGTTAGAAACTAGAACGACCGTTCTTTCCAAAGCCAGGGGCACAGGAAACCAACATTGACCGGGGACACCACATGTCAGGATCAGCTAAACCAAAGCATCCTTGTGCAATGGCTGCATGGCAACATCTCATGTCGTGAATCTGTGCACCAGACCTCAGGTCGTTCCTTTTTTTGCATTTGACCTCAGGTTGGCCTTGCACTGAGCCTGGTCGCTCAAGGTTCCACTGACTCAAATCACCTCTTCCTCTGGAAGGAGGGTGAGGAAAGGCGGGGCCTTCACCTGGCGCCTTTCGGGCGGACCCCCCCACCCACCCGACTCAAATCAACTCTCCTTATACGACACCCGGCTCGTGGCGCCCATCGGACCAAGTTCGGGTGCCTGGTGCGACGCGACGTCACTAGAGACAGTCGCCACACCAGAGTTGGACGGAACTTCCTTCACCCTTCGATGTGTGTATTTTTTTGGTTGAAAGGACCCGGCGACTGCGTCACCGGGACGGCGTCGTCCCACCGGTCGATGTCTCGTCGGGTGACGACCCGGCCAGGTACGAGACCCTGGTGGCCGTCATTGGACATCATGGCAGTTGTCAGCCCATGTGTTCAGAGAAGCGAACGGTGGTGGTTCCACCCAACGTCTTTTACAAGGTGACACGCACGAGGGAGGGATGGAGATTGAACACTGGGGTTGTTTTTGGTGCGTGAAGAACTGGTTCAAAAGAATCGGATGGAACATGTTTAGCAAATCATGATGTACAGGGGTACTTGCTCAACAAGCAGCCACGCTACATCTGATTGTAGATTTTTAGTCAAGGGGTCAAGGGGGGCAGTTTCTTTCCTGCTTGGCATGTTCTTGACTGAAAGCCAGTGGCCTTCTTCCTGTGTTTACATACATGGGGCCCCAACTAACAGCGAACTTCTATGACTGGCTGAACCAGTTGAGCGCTCCAGGAAACCCGGGCCCAAAGCGCCCAACTGAACCTGGACCATGGGACGTTCACTTCGTTTCATACCTGTGATATGTCGTGACATATTCAGATTTTTATTTCAAAATATTGACCACCAGAACTGGCTGACAGGTCAAAGTTGAAGTTGCACAAGTCGACATGCACTCAAAGGATGAGCAAGTTGAAGTGAAGGCGAGCAATGAGCAATGAGCGGCTTGATCACTTGCATGTCATCCCTGGTTTGAGCATTGACCCTTGTTTGCTGCATAGCCACAGGTTGGGGGCCAACAAGTACTCTGCAGCCCCAAAGTTGCATCTGACTACAACTGCTCTTTGGTTGATGCTTGTCCGTATTCGAGCGTCTTTCGCAGTGGAAGAAGTGTGGGAAGGGTGCAAACCGTGCGAACATCACGTGGATGTCATGAGTCGGAAGATGTGAGCACAAACGCATGCAAAGCAGCAGTTGTTCATTGGTTTTTCTCCAACTGCAGGTCCCTCGGAGAATCTCGGACGTCTCCGAAGGGACCGCGTCCGGATGCGCCGGCCCGAAGGGGTCCTCGCATCGGGGAACGGGTTTGGCCGTCCCCCCTTCGGGCGGATTGGGCCGTCCCAAGGAGTGCTCGCAATTGAACTTTGGCCGCGTGGTGAACTCCGAGCTTCGCATTGAGGTGGAAGCCCGGAAAACACGTGACTGAGACAGCGGAGAAGGATGGGGGAGGGGCGTGGGTTTTGGAGGGGCGTGTTCTCTTTTGGTTGGTGGGAACAAGACATGCACTAGGTGGGACAACTAAAGGTCACGAAGAGCAGACCGGGCGATGTTGCTTGCAGAGTAGATGGTCGTGGGGCCCCCTCTGCGCATGTCTCGGCCGCATGTTTCGGCTCGCTGCGTCCGGAACGTTCGGCCGCACCGGTACACAAGGTGAGCGGGTGGTATTTGGACGGACATGTGATATGTTTTTAACTGATTGCCCTACAGGTGAGTCAGTTTGACCTCATGAAATACTGGAGTTGGTCATACAAAATGCTACTCCAGGAGGTAACAGTCCAAGCTTTACTGAGTTAGACTTTGACTTGTAGGGATTGGAATGTTTTGTTCGTTCGATTGCAATTTCCTAGGTCAAAGGCAGGCCGTTCATTCTGTTATAGGGTGTCGGTTGATCTTACCCTAACATGCCCTGACCACCGTGCGAACAACATCAAATATATATATATATAGGGTGTAGCCCATTACCAGTATCAGCCGGTAAATGATGTAAATGATTATCACATATTATCACTATTTTTGATAAAGGCCTTGCTAACCATCATCATCCACTGTTACTGGTCATGGGATATACCCAAGATATAAATGTTTTGAGACATGCATTTTTTGTCATCCAGCTGGATCAACCGATGAACGACTGAGGTGATACCTGCAAATGCAGTGTGGATCCGAAGGGAGATGTCGATTGCTACAGCCAGCTTCTCTCCGGCTTGGATCCAACGCCCCTTAATTAGATTTAGCGAAGATCACAACAGATTACGACAGCACTGAGTGGTTTGGTGATTTTTTTTTCAGTGACCAGGGACAGAATCAAAGAGATTGAACTCACAATGAACTGATTGTCTAGCTTCTGAATGTTGCAAGGTGTTCAGTTTTGGACGTTTGTTTGACACTTACCTCAATATCCTCAATTTTGCTTGATCTTCCGCCTTTTGCAAAGCAGCAGTTGCACCTCAGACACCAGGTACGGTGCCCTGGTGCGCGTGATCTTTGAACCACAGGCAGAGATGTCTTGAACATCACGACTGAGAGAGCATTTTCTACTTTTTAGATCTTTTATCATTTCTGGTATTTTCTAGTTGGTGCTTCCTTGCTCCAGGCCCCTTAGCCACGAGCGGCCACGGCCACCATCTCCGGATCCACCATCTTTCCATCCTTTTGGCCCACCGAACTTGCCCCCCAAACCCAAATCGCCTGAACCATCAAGCGCCAACAAGTCAAGCTCCTGCGATGCGATCCCAAACGCGTTCACCGCCCATTTGACCAAATGCTCATAATGAACCAGCACCACCCAAAGGGTGGTTTTATAAACCACCCCTTTCGAATCCTGAAGATGTATTTAACATCCAATAACCACCCTTTGGGTGGTGCTGGAAGGTACCATTTTTACCAAGCATAACATCCATAGACTGTAGGTAAGACCTTCACCGCGTCACCCGACCTGACCGTCCGGATCCTCGACCCACTTGAAGACTCCTCTTTTCGGCGTCCTGAAAACCGAACCGAACGGTAGGTCCGAGCCGAATGGCGCACTGGAAGCTGGTCGACCTGCAACCAATTCGACTGCGCCGGGCCGCCCACCCGCGTGGCCACCCGCACCGCGCCTCGGGGCACGTGGGACGGGGGGGGGCCGGACGCCGGAACACAGCGGACGCGGAACGGAGCTCCCGAGGTTGGGAGATGCATTGTTGAGCGGGAGGCATTGAGCCGTTGGCGAGTCGTGGGCTTTGGCCCAAAATGGGGAGAGCAAAAGAAGCAATAGATGACCTCAGCCCAGGGCCCGGGGTGGGTTTACCGGTGTCACTAGACTTTTGGTCAAATTGGACCCAAAGAGGGATTGGGGGTGTTGTTGCTTTTTCACCATGGGTGTCCAAAACCGCAGGGTCCCCATCAGAATTGATTTCGACAGGGACACTTATTTGTACTGCGCAGCTTGGTCTCATCAGGGGCTGAATTCTTGACTTTACACTTGGAAGTACACTTGGTTTGGAATCATCAGAGGCACAGAACGGCCAAGATCTACAAACGGAAAGGTTGTTTAAACATGTTGTCATGACTGGTCAATTGTGTTGAATTGAACATTCCTCAACCAGACCACCTTTGCGATCACTTCTGATGTACAATAGATTCAATGGATCTTCATTCAACCAACTACTAGAATTCTCATGCATTCTCTTGGCATTGCCAATGCCCAAGAACAGCAGACACTATGTTTGATTGGTTATGCAATGACAAACAATCACCAAAACACCACTACAGACCATCCACCAAACCAAACGCCACTTCCATCCACTCCCCCACCATGACCGCTGCGGTTCGTCTGGGCATTCCCCATGGGATCCCAGGTGCAATGCCGGATCTTCGATCCGGACGACGTGGGCGATGGGGGATCCCGCTGTACGGCTCCTGCACCCGAAGCTTCCAGAGCTTGCACAGAGGCGGTCGCCGGTGGCTGGATCGTTTGCCATGCCTCACGTTGTCTCTATGCTGATCTCGCGTCTTTTTTTGGTTTCTCGCGATCAGCAGAAGTTGTGAACCATTGTCATCCTTTGATCTGCCGAAGACGAGGCCTTGTCGCCATGTTTTTTGGTTTTCGAGGGCTGTGGGTCC